TTTATGACCTTTTTGTTAGTTTTATTGATCCTGGTTCTATGCATTCATACATAAGTACTAAGTTGATTAAAGAAAGAGGGATTTCGTTAGAACCTATCTTTAGTGATATAGTGGAGACTAACGCTTTAGGCAAGAGCATGAGAGTGAGTCGTATTTGTAGAGATTGTCCATTGAAGATTGAAGGAGTTAAGTTTTTGATTAGTCTAATGGGTTACCCTTCGAGGAATTTGAGATAATTTTGGGCATGGATTGGTTATCCTCATATCATTCCATTATGGGCCATTGCTTAAAGCGATTAATTTGAACAGACCGAAAAGGTTCGGAAATCATAGTGGTCAGTGAAAGGATAAATCTTTTATCAAATGTAATTCATCGGTGGCTACTAAGAAGTTATTATTAAAATAGTGTCAAGCTTTCTTAGCTAATGTGGTGGATACTCAAGCTTCAGAAGTTGACATTTTGACTGTTTGAGAGTATCAAGATGTATTCCCATGTTAGTTACCGGGATAACCTCTAGATCAAGAGGTATAATTTAAGATACAAGTGCTATCAGGAACTACACCTATTTTTATGGCCTGCTATAGAGTTGCTTTAACTAAACTCTGGGAATTAAAGGCATAACTACAAGAACTATTAGAACAGGGTTTTATAAGACCAAGCGTATCACCTCGGGGCACGTCATTGTTATATGTGCAAAAGAAGGATGTTATTATGCGGTTATGTGTAGATTATCGCCAGCTAAATAAAGCGACAATCAAGAATAAGTACCTTCTCCCCAGAATCGATGATCTCTTTGATAAGTTAAAAAGGGCATTAGTATTTTCAAAGATTTATCTCTGAACTAGATATATCCAGTTAAAAATTAAGGAAGAAGATATGCCAACGACGTCATTCAGAAATCAATATAGACATTATGAGTTTGTTGTTATGTCGTGCGAATTAACCAATGCTCTTGTGGCTTTTATGGATTTGATGAATTGATTATTTCAACCATACCTAGTCAAATTCGTGGTGGTATTCATTGATGATATTTTGGTCTATTCAAAGACAAATGAAGAACATGATGCACATCTTTTCATTTTTCTTCAAACTCTTTAAGAGAAAATGTTATTTTCTAAGTTGTCCAAGTGAGAATATTGGTTGTCTAAATTTGTATTTCTTGGTCATATAGTGTTAGCAAAAGGGATTAGAATGGATCCTAAGAAAGTTCAATCTATTATTGAATGGAAAACTCTAAAGAATGTTAATGAGGTTTGAAGTTCTTTGGACTTGCTGGTTATTATCGAAGGTTTGTAAAGAAATCTCGATGATTGCCTCTTCGCTTAATAAGTTATTATGGAAGGATGTACCATTCATTTCGACTGATAAATGCCAAGAATGCATCGAGACCTTGAAGAAGATCTTGAAAGAAGCCCAGTGCTAGTATAACCAAAATCAAGAAATGATTATGTGATCTATAGTGACACGTATTATAATTGTTTGGGATGCTTACTATTGAAAGAAGGAAACGTTGTGGCCTATCCTTTAAGGAAACTTAATACGCATGAAATGAATTTTCCTACTTATGATTTGTAAATGACAGAGTTGTGTTTACTTTGAAAATAAGGCATCGTTACCTATATCGTGAACGATGTTATATCTACACTGATCACAAAAGTCTGAAGTATTTATTAACTTAAAAGGAGTTAAACTTGAGAAAAAAAGGTGAATCAAACTTATGAAAGACTATTATGTGGTTATTGACTACCATATAGGGAAAGTAAACGTGGTAACCAATGCGTTAAGTCGAAAGACATTTTTTGCCTTAAGAGTATTTGATGCGTGCTTGGAAAAAATAAAAATGGTGCACTAGTCACAGAATTGAAGTTAAAACCTACTTTATTAGATCAAATAAATGATATTCAAAGAAATTATGAAAAGTTTATGTTAAGGATCGAACAAGTGGAAAAGGTGAAACAAAGACTTTGAAGTTAAGTCTGATGGATGATTATACTAACGAGGAAGACTATATATTCCAAATGATGAGGAGTTGAAGAAAGAACTTCTCTATAAGGCGTGTTATAGTCTGTTGACTATGCATCCTATAATAAGTAAGATATATCACAATATAAAGAGTAGGTATTGGTGGCCAGACATGAAAAGAGTTATAATTGAGTTTGTTAATAAATGCTTGACAAGTCAACAAGTTAAAGTAGAGCATCAAGTTCCCTTGGGATTATTGGAACCTATTTTTATTCCTCGGTGGAAGTGGGAAAGAGTTATGATGGATTTTGTGCCAGGACTACCTTTGACACCTAAAAAATGTTGTCCATACTCACTTATTGGGCTCAATGCTGTAGGAACCCTCCTAAAACTAATGTTAGAGATTCCAACTTATTTGACTTCCTAAAACTAATTTTGGAGATTCCAACTTATTCGATTTCCTAAAACTAATGTTGGAGATTCCAACTTATTTGATATATACATTTTTCTTTTTTTTTTCTTTTGAAAATAAGAATGTTATAACATCTAATAGAGATATGAGATTTAAAGTTAAAAAATTTATAGTCTTGAAGTATTGATAATATAACCTATTGTGTAAAAGGGTATGTATGGATCCTAATCCTAATAAGTATCTAAAACATTATCATGGCATTGTAAACCTAATTATTCATCATCGAGCATCATCAAAAATTCATAAAAAACTTCATTAATCTAGCAATATTATACATGTAACATTATATATGCAATATCCTAAATGATCTAAATAATATAAACAATAGTGCACACATCAAATAAATAAATGTAATATGACACGTGCAAATATGAACAACATAAATGGATGACACAATATGAACAACACACCCCAAACCTAAGATGTGAATTGTACTCAATGTATGCAACAAAGAAATAATAAAAACATAAATAAAAGTAAATGAGAGAATGGAAGCAATACTCTCCTAGCGACTCTTTCTTAGACTGGAAAAAGTTAGGTGGGTATTCTTTTATGATGTCTTCTCTTTCGGATGTATTTGTTTTCTTATTATAACAATGGTTGTCTGTAACTTTATTAGATGCTTTGAATTAAATACAACATTGTTATCGCTGATAGTGCCATGATCAATGTGGTAACATGACCTACAAAGAAAAGAAAAGGGAACTAATAAAATAACAAAATCTAAAAAATAAAAAATAGAATAAAATTAATTAAATAACAATAAAATAAAATAAAAATGTAAACTAGTTGGGCTTGAGTTCATAGAACCAAATCGAGGCAATGTGTTGGGGTATATTGCAACCACTATGTTTCATCATATGCCCATTAGACATGTTAAAACATTCATCCAAGGATTCTTGTTTCGTTTCTTCGATAATGCCAACAACATAACATTCAACTTTGCCATCGCCTTGTAAAATATTAAATATACTTTGTTGGTCATATAGACATATTATGAGTTCTCACTTGTGGACATGAACCAATGGTTGTATTGCAAAAAGGAAAGGTATGCCCATTATTATTGGCACATCCTTATCGGTTATATAGTCCAAGACAATAAAATCTACTAAAAATATGAATTGTCCACTTGTACTAGCACATTCTATATTTTCCCTTCAAGTTGAGCAATGCGTTGGTCAGCAAATTGTAATTCAACAATTGTGTGTTTTTCTTTAAACCTAAATTTCCTAAAAAATAGGCAAAGACATTAAGATAATGTTGGAACCTAAATCAGGCAATGCTCCAGCAATGCATTGATTCCCAATAGTACAAGAAATAGAAAAATCTCTCTGGATCCTTGAAATTTTATGGCAATATTCTCGTGACAGTGGCACTACACCTTTAGTGAGTGCAATGCTTCTAACTCACCATTGTTGTGTTTATTGGAAAACACTTCTTTCATGAATTTAACATAGTTCAAAATTTGTTCCAAGGAATGGATCAATGATATTTTGATTTGTAATTGCTCCAGCACATCAAAGGACTTCTTAAAATGTTGGTCCTCCTTGGTGTTTTGAAATCGTTTAGGGAATGAGATAATGACTTTCCTTTAGGTTGCAACATCAATTTTGGTGGTATCGCAGGTGGCAATGTTGTTGGAATTGCTGGTGGCAATGGCTTATAATTATTGCACTGGCCAATATCCTTTGTCACAATATTAATTTCAAGTGGTTCAATATCAACCTATAGTTCTTTTCCTTTGAATTATTGTTTAGGCCTCTCATCTTCTTCCTTTTTGTGCTTTGTAAGTTTGAGTCCACTTCTCGTTGTGATAATTTTACAATGCTGGTTACAAGTAACTTCGGTGTCACTTGGTAATGCTCTTTTCTATTATTGTTCAATGAATTGACCAACTGTCAAACTTAATTATCTAATGCTCTTGGAGATGTTGTATGAATTTGAATGATATCATCATTTATTGAGATGAATCATCTGTTGATATGGTAACATCGGTTGTTGTTGTGCATACTATTGCTGTGATTGATGTAGTGGTTGTGGTTTTGTATTCTTAAAATTTGATTGCAATGCTTCATTAGAATATGCTACATCCTAACTTTCCCATGATAGATCGAAATTATTCCCAAAGTTTGGATTGTAGGTATTCTTATAGGTGTAGGCATTATCATTCCAATTATAGTTCATCGTGAAATACACAAATTCTAGATTTTTAAGTCATTCCTAAAACTTATGATTGTCATCAAAATAGACAAAAGTAATAATGAATGCTAATTTAACTTCGTAATTACATCTAGGTTGTTATATCTTCCTCACTATCTCAATCAATATTGTAATCTCTGACACCATTTTATTGATAGCATAAATTCCCACTGTTGCAACAACAAGTCTCCCCTACATCATCCTTTTGTTAGGATATTGGTAATCATTGTTGAAGATCCTCACCAGAATGTCATAGGCTTTATTGTATGATTCTTCCAGAAATGCTCCGTTGGTTGATGCATCTACAACCATCCTCGATTGCATGTTAAGACCATTGTAGGATATCTCTGATTGTGTCCAATGCCAGAAACCATGCATCTTGCATTGTTATGACAAATCTTTAAATCACTCCCAAACTTCATACAAATTCCCATCTTCCAATTGCGTGAAAGATGTGATTTCATTCCTCAATCTTGTATTCATGTAGTGAGGATTAAATCATAGCAAAAAAAGTTTGGGTAAGCTTGTTCAATGATGCTATAGCTCCAGGCAGCAACGAGTTAAGCCACGTCCTGGCTTTGTCACAAGGAGAGTAGGGAAATAGCTTCAGCTTCAATGCTTCCTCGGGCACCCCTTATTGTACAAAAGAGTCGCACACATTAATGAATACTCTAAGGTGTTCTCTAGTATCCTCGCTAATTGAAGCACTATATTACCCCTTACAGTGCAATATTTGGAACATTATAGGCTTCAGATTAAAGTGGGAGACATGGATATAAGGTTTAATAATGACAGGATTCAGATCATCTGTGGTTAGCACATCATGCTCTCAAATTGGCCTGTTGTAGACATAGATGTCGTAACAATTCTACGACATCAAAATATTTTGTAAAGCTTCATCATTGTAATAGGCCATGTTTTGTTGTTGTTGATGTTATTGCCTATTTTGGTTGATAATTCACTCGATTTCTAGATCAAATGGTTCTAAGTCCTCCACGTTGCTACATGTTATGCACCAAAAACACTATGCTAAAAAAGTACCTACAAACTAAAAATAAACAAAATTAGTGAAAAAAGAAAAACAATTATAATGCAATACTATTTCTCCCCGACAACGGCACCAAAAACTTGATTCTATGAAATTTTTACAACATTCGATTCAAGTGTACGTATCGTATATCAAGTAATAAAGTGGAAACCTCAAGAGTTTGGATGTTGAACCCACAAAGAGAAATGAATGACAACTTAGAATTGTTGATCATTTGCAAAATATAAGTTTGGAATGAAATAATGATGTATTTATAGTAAAGGTAAAAAATTTAGAATATTAATGGCAAGGAATGTAGTAGCAAACATGAGAGAAAATAAACCACTAGACTGGTAAATGCTTTTATTATATGGTAGTTTCCAATATTAGTATGTTGTGACAATACAATTACGAGATGTGAAAAGATTAACACATTAAATCACTTTCAATAAGTAAACAATTAATTAATAGAAATCAATTTTCAATAACTTCATTAATCAAGCAATTAACAAAGCAACGACAATCGATAGCATACAATATTATATACTTAAACTCACTTTCACAAATACCGATTTTGTACACAAGTAACATTAACCATAGTGATTTCCATTTCTAAAAATAATCGAGATTAACATACATACAGATATTCAATTTCTAAAAAGTATCAAATGAAGTTTAAGAATATAAAAATATTGTTTCAAACAACAATCATAAATAAGCATTTCATCAAACAACTTATATTCAAATCCAAATAATACCATAAAAATTAAAACATTCAAACTTAAAAAAATTCTTCCTGTTTTCAAGTAAAATGAACTAAGAGGCTTGAACCCTAAATGGTCACCACTACTACAACTATATTGCTACTACAGCTACCGCTACACTCCCCAGCAAATTCAAACCTCCATGGTCAGTTTAGGATAGAAGAAAATAAAATGGAAATGAAGAAAGGTTGAAGAAGGGTGTGAAAAGTGTGAAAGCATGCCTTATTTTCCAACCATTTTATATATGTATTAGATAGTTATCTGATTCTAGTTTTTTCTTATAACTATCTTTTGAGTTATCAGTTAGTGCATATTCAGCTCAGTAATCAAGTACAACATTGTCTCACAACAAGGTCTACATCATCAATTATGTTACAACATCAACACACCAAATTACATTAAAATATCATAAAATAACCCAAAAAATATAAACTCACTTCCAATGTGCAAATGATGTAAAATATGATAACATAAACCTAAAATAAACCTAGTGATGCTAAAGTTAAAGCTTAACCTAGGTAGAAAGATCCTAAAAGATTACTCATTTAGAGAGTTATCAATTCTATCAATCCTTTCATTGAGAGGTTCAAGTTCCAACCATAGCAATCTAAGCATATCTCTCATTGTTTCCTATGCTTGAAGATGTAGAGTTTTTCCTTGACATGAGTTTTCTGAACCTTGAGACATTTATTAGTAATAAAAGTAAATAAAGGAAATATTTAAATGGACCATACAAAGTACTCTCACAAAAACCTTGCAAAGTCTCTCATAAGAAAAGAAGATGGGACTCAATTCACACGTGCTTGACACTCAAGACTTGAATGGATTTTACTTGTCCTCTTTTATGAAGTCATTTTATGAATTCACTCAAAACTTTTTCAAGTCTTGGTGCTTTACTAACGTAGGCTGCAAATGGAGGGTAGGAGAGAAAACAAATATAATGTAAAAGGTAGCTTAGAAATATAAAGAAAACAAGGAAGAGTTACTTACTAAACAAGTTACTTACACTTTCTCTTTCACCAAAATCAAGGCCTTGAAGATGGCTTCCAAACTTTTATGGTGAAACTCTGGTGTTGTAGTGTTCTCTATTATAACACCCATTTCACGTATATGTTTCCGTACATAAGTCATAGGTTTCACATGACTTTTAAAAAGACTCACCCATTTGTAAAACCCATAATTTATTTTTTGAAATTTAAAACAAAACATTTTAGTGCAACAATAAAGCATTCGTTGCTTTAATTACATTCCATAACATTTTCCTTAATTTCGATTACTTGCCAGCAAATTTTCAAAATAAACATGATTGTCCTATTGTTACTGATGAGAGTCAACCTTAGATTAATGATAGCTGCCACTTCACCCCTTACTCGGCTAGTCTTTTCTTTTACATATGCTTGAAATCAACACACGTTAAGTATTTACTTAGTGAGGCATAATATTGTAAAGAAATTGCAATTTATACATAAGTATATCATGGCTATTTAATGATGAATTACATTACATACTCTATAAGGATAAGATAAATCCTTCTTAGTTAAACCATATTTCTTTCATACAATCATCGAAATTATTCTTAGTATACCCAACATACCTATCCTTCTATATATTTTCCCAATTATTCTTTGTTTGTTCTATGTACGTTAAATGAGAAAGTAATGTACATGTATTGTACAAAAGTTCCAAATGGTCATTTATCTTTTATAAGTACCATGAGTGGCACCTTAAATGTGTTAATATACCGTTATGAATTTTCATTTGTGACATCCTTTCATGTCGATTATGCACCTTTATGCTTTTCCATTTCTGGCAACCATTCATGTCGATTATGCACCGTTATGCATTTTTATTTATGGTATCCTTTCTTGCCGATAATACACCGTTATGCATTTTCATTTATGGCATCCTTTCACGCCGAAAATGCACCGTTATGCATTTTCATTTATGGCATCCTTTCATGCCGAAATGCACCGTTATGCATTTTCATTTATGGCATCCTTTCATGCCGATAATGCACCTTTATGCATTTTCATTTATTCATTCATTTTAGAGCAGTTCATGCTCTAAAAATTATTAATAATATCATTTCCATACACATAATGAAAGTATATTAAATACTGTAAAATGTACATTTAATCATAATATTCTAAGTTGACTCATTGCGAGTCTTCCTCATCTCATATAAATACAATAAATGCACTCACCTGTTATGCCTCATTAATATGCTTTAAGGATGTCCAACTATTCAACAACTTTATCTTTGCCCTTTTTTTTTTGCTTGACTCAAGAGCTTGGTTACGATCTAGAAAAACATCCATTAAGTACACATACCATACTAAATGTTAGTATACTTCTCTAACATTTATACTTTTAATAATACTTAAAAGTAATATTATATTCTATTTCTATCAAAATTCATCATATCTTAAAGTTTCCATATTCAATAGTATCGGTACCCCTATCATGGTACCGATACTTATATACTATGGTACCGATATTCCCTTTCAGTATCAATACCATTTATGCATTCTGTAATCCATGATATCGATACCCACATCAGTATCCATACTAATTGCATTGGTATCGATATTGTTAATCATATTTCTTTAAATTTAAACACATATAGTATCGGAATTGTTCTTCCAGTATCGATACCCTTACCCATATTTTCTATTTTCAACTCAATTTTTACTAAATTTTTTGTTTAAAACTCTTAATTTTACCTCAAACAATGCCCTTAAACTTAACATCACTTAACCCAACTAACTTTCCTCCATTTAGTTTCTTATAACATCTAAATTCTCCAAAGAACATCTCAAACTAAGAATCATACTACTTTTTCTAACATGTTTTTAATCACATCCAAGGCTTCTAATCTCTTATTTACTTCTTTAACAAGTCAAATATACTTGTAAACATCAATAGAAACTCATCTTTCAACAAATCACTCAAAAACCCATTTTCTTTAATCTAAAATAAAATATTCATTTCTTAGTTTTAATCTTCTTTAATCCTTCATTAAGCTTACACATCACTTAAGGTTTCAAGAACAAACCCAAAAAATGAAAGGAAAACTAACGTTGAAGAACCCTTACCTTGACTATGGAGAGCATAGGACTAGGAGGAAGAAGAAGAGAACTTAGCTTGTTCCCCATTTTCCCTTTTCCTCTTTTTAAATACCCTAATTAGAATAAATTTTAAATTCATTTCCCAATAAAGGACCAAAATACCCTTTCGTTCTTCCATTCTTACTAAATGATCTTAATCACAATTTCTAAATCATTTTCTTATACTTTACCATTTATTCAATTTAATCCTCCAAAATTTTAAAATTTTTCAATATAGTCACTGACCTGATATTTAGGGTATTACAATTCTCCCCTTAAGAAAAATTCGTCCTCAAATTTAAAGACTTTATGCTTTTACCACAGCACTTCAACTAAAGGAATCGTCTTGTTACGCTGTTTATTGATTTCTCGAGTCCAGATTCGTATTATTTATTTTTCATAATTCAAATCTGATCGAATCTCTATTCCCTTTAGTGTAAAAACATGTGATGAATCTGATCGGTAATTACTAAGCAATGAAACAGGAAAAACAATATAGGTCTTTTCCATTTCGGGAGGCAAAGCTAACTGATAAAATCTCATAAGGTCCAATAATTCTCGGACTCAGTCCTAACC